AATAATAATAATAATAATAATAATAATAATAGCAATAATAATAATAATAATGAATAATGATAATAGTAATAATAGTTAATAGCGACAATGATAATAAAATAAATTTTCGTCCTACTAATTAGCATCGTCGTTACAGTGATGTACTTAGCCGTTACAGTTTTTTTTTTCTTGCCTATGTACTATTCTCTTTTATATACTTCTATATGTATAGCTACAATATATAATATTTCCATGTTGAAAAATCGTATACATTAGTGTTGTGTCGCAGGACCATTGCTTCATTTCTGTTCTGTTTCCCGTTCGTCTCAAACTCTTTCCCTCTTTAAAATCCCTATATCGTTTCTCTCCCATTGTGTGTGGCGGCGCATCATTCTTCGAAAAAGAACACACGCTGTCCGTCGTCTTCTCTCTCTCTCTCTCTCACTCACTCACTCTCTCTCTCTCTTTCTCTCTTTTCCTTTCTCTTTCCCTCATCGTGTTCTTACGGATCGAAACTCTCGGTTCACGGTCTGCGACATGGAAGAGGGAAGAAGCTCTGTAAGTTGGAACGGGAGAAAAGGAATCGGGAATCGGGAGGAGACGAAGGGAAGAGAAGGAGCAAAGGGGGAAGGGGGTAATTAAATCGCTTCGTGGATCGGCGGAACGATGGTCGAAGGGGAAGAGAAAGCGCGAGAAGAAAGAGACGGGAGAAGTGCGTCAAATGTTTTCGGATCGCGAGCTTCTTCTGTGCGCGCGATTCCTCGTTAAAAGCCGTCGGTACTGCCACACGTTCACGGAAAGAGAGAGAGAGAGAGAGAGAGTGAGAGAGAGAGAGAGAAGTAGAGAGAAAGAGATACAGAGAGAGATATAGAGAGAGAAGAGAGAAGGAGAGGAGGGAGAGAGAGAGAGAGAGAGAGAGAGAGAGAGAGAGAGATAGAGAGAGAGGAGAGAAGGGGAGGGGGGAGAGAGAGAGAGAGAGAGAGAGAGAGAGAGAGAGAGATAGGCTCGTCGTCGAGCCGTGTATCAGCGAGCTCGCGCGGAGAACGTGTATATCCATTACAATAACGTTAATTAGCTTAATTATCGATTTTCTTTTTCGTTTTTCTGTTTTTTTTTGTTTCGTTTATCTTTTTGTCGCATAGCTTGTTCGTTTTGTTTATTTTTTAGTTCGTATTACCCGCCCCCTGGTCCGGGGGCGAGCCTCGGATCACAGATAGTGAGGTGATCGGATCGCGCGGGAGCATTGGTTCACGATAGAGATCGTGGGCTGCGCGCGACGCTCTTTTTAAACGCGCTCCTACATCGCAACGAATTCTCGGTTAATTGTCTGATTTGCGATTTCTGTCTTCTGTGCGATTCCTCTAAGTATTTCAAGGCGACAGCTCCTGAAAGCAAACAGGCACCACCGGCCGTGTACGCGAGCGTGACGACGCCGAACAGTCGCGAGCGGAAAAGGGTCGCGCGGCGGGACTACTACTCGCTTTCGTCAGTCCCATCGGGCCGCGACGCACACCGTCTCCACCTCCGGCCGCGGTTCTTAACACGTTGAATGCCACGGGGTCACTGGTGACCGGCGCTTATCTTGGCGGTGACGTCATGGGGGCCACCGGTGACCGGCGCCCCCAAATTGATAGAAATATATATATATATATTTCTATCAATATATATATATATAATTATATTATAATTAATATATATATATATATATATATATAATATATATATATATATATATATATATTTCTATCAATATATATATAATTATATTATAATAATTATATATATATATAATATATAATTAAAAACAAATGTGAATATCTAAAATTTAGTATTATTATCATCGCCAATTCAAACTATGATCTCCGTCGCAGTTAACATGTCACACATGGTTGTACACTGTAACTTATCTATTGCAGATAATACTTCAACGTTACATGTATCAAATAAAAGAAAATTCATCATGGCGCCACGGGTAATTTCTGTAAAACCGGCGTGGCATTCAACGTGTTAATTAGACTGCGGATCTTCCTGCCGAACGAGCCCCCTCCACCGTCGGGTTTCAACCGCGATCCACCCGGTTAAATAATTTCTCAAAATACTCGAAACATTTTCTCCGCGGGAAATCATCCTGGAACGCGCGCGTCGAACTCGACACGTCCGAGTCGGTCGATTATTTGTACGACCACTCTGGCGAAAAGTATTCGAACATCTTTGAGAATAACTTTTCTCGAACTGGCATAATTGTGTTGAATATATATATATTTTTTTTTTAATCGTTAAAGGGACCAGTTTACGGTTAAATAAGCAGTATGGTTGTTTTCTTAATTCTGCCGTCGCATAAAATGATAACAGGAGATAAAAAATACTTGTTTCTGGCTTTCGATGAAACGAAAATTTAAAAAATGCGTTCCGACGTTCACCGACGTTGTTATTACGAGCTACGAGCAATTGAAGATCGCGAAAATGGCAATTTCTCGCGAATTTCAGCAGATCATTTTTCTATCATTGAAAGGCTGTTGCTTGATTATGTGCGTCAATAAAGAAGAAAACGTCATTTTCAATGAAATCGTCAGTTTCCATATAAGTCACCGAGATGCGCCGGACGCGTTATTTAAATCTTCGTTCCAGGTTCAAACGAAAAAGTTTCGCAAACCAGTGTTTTTTATCCTCTGTTATCATTTTATACGATAGCGAAATTCAAAAAGAACTATACTCGTCGTTTACTCGTAAACTACCCCCTTTAACACTAAAAAAAAAAAAGAAGATTAAATCGGATCGGTTCGAAAGAAGTTATTGCATTTTAAATCGTGCACGAATACTTTTTGCCAGCGGCTGAATTTTAGGCGATCGATGCTCGTGCTTCCTCGCGAACGGAACCGCGACTCCTCGCGCGAAAGAAGCTTTTTTCCGCGTCGATCGCGCGAAACCGAGTTTCGTCGAATCGTTTCACCGCGCGCGCGATTTCGCTATTTTAGGTTCGGAAAATTCGCGGTAAAATCGCGAAGCGATCTCGTCGCGTTTCTTCTGTTGAAGAAATTTCTCCGCCCGAGCAATCCGTCCGCAGTCTACGGGCGAAGACGGATCTTTGCCGGCGACTGTTCGTCCACGCGCGCGTACGGTCGACAGAAAACTTTTTCGGAACCATTTCCACGCAATCGTCTAGGTCTCCGCCCCAGTGAGGAGGGTGTTACGTCATCGCGACGGTGATCCATACGAGGGTTACACAGATACGAAAGTATAGAATATATATATATACATATAATATATAATATAATATATATATATATAGATTTCTCTTCTTTCTCGTACACATGTACAGACGTACACACAATACATATGTACCTACGTACGCACGACCAACTAAGGGTAGACAGGCGCAATCGTATATATCTCGAGTGTCGAATCCAGCGAAAATCGGCCGCCGATCTTTTTTCTTTTTTTTCAAGCTTTTCCTCTTTCCAGCGCGCGAAAAATCGCGGTGCCGACGAGCCTCGCGTTCGATGTTTGGCGCTTTTCTCCTTCGAACGCGCGATCCAAAACCGAGCTCCGCGTCGATTAACCCTTTCGCTGGAGAATCCTCCGCGAGCCTAAAGCGACTGCGGACCGAGCGCGACGCGTCGCAGATCGAAATTTTCTAGAAATCGGGTCGAATTAGAAATTTGAATGCCAAATTCACGAAATGCTTCGCGTCGATTAACCCTTTCGCTAGAAAATCCTCCGCGAGCCTGAAGCGGCTGCGAATCGAGCGCGACGCGTCGCAGATCAAAATCTTCTAGAAATCAGATCGAATCATATCGAATTAGAAATTTGAATGCCAAATTCACGAAATGCTCTGCTTCGACTAACCCTTTCGCTGGAGAATCCTCCGCGAGCCTAAAGCGGCTGCGAATCGAACGCGTCGCGTCGCAGTTCGAAATTTTCTAGAGATCATATCGAATTAGAAATTTGAATGCTAAATTCACGAAATGCTCCGCTTCGACGAAAGCGAGAAGAGCGCGTCGATTCGGATTTTCTCGGCAGGGAAATACATCGAATAAATTCTTTAGGAGCGCGCGACTTTGCTTGCGGACAGAGCGATTTCGCGAAAAGATCGTCGCACCGGTTAAAATGTTCGCGTCGATCGCGTTTTAAGAAAGAATTCGCGGCCGGATATGCCTCTGGATTCGACGCCGCGTGTGTGGGTGGATGAGATTGAACAGAAACAGAAAAAAGGCATGGCGGAGGAGAAACGAATAGTTTAATAAGAGCTCGTGCTGAATCGTTGGTTTACAAAATAAGGAGGCCGGGGGTGGGGTGGAAGAAAGAAAAAAAAAGAGTGAATCGCGAGAATGGGGTTTCGACTCGCCGGTTTCGCTCGGCTCGCTCGTGGTTGTGGGTACAATCATGCACACAATTTTCCAACGTGACAAAGGATTATACGATGCTCTCTCGCTTCGTTCGAACGAGGACACTCGCCGATCCGAAATAAATAAATTCACCGCGGGAGGAACCGGCCGATTCGGGCGGAAAGAAGAGAACGGACGGACGATCGAATGTTCGAATGATCGAACGATCGAACGAACGATCTAACGAACGATCTAACGAACGAGTGAACGATCGAGTGAACGAGCGAACGATCGAACGAGCGAACGATAGAACGATCGAACGAACGAACGAATGATCGAACGAACAAGCGAATGAACGAACGATCCAATGATCGAACGAACGATCGAACAAACAATCGAAAGCACGAACGAACGATCGAGCGAACGATCGAGCGAACGATCGTGCAACAATCGAGCGCACGATCGAGCGAACGATCGAGCGAACGATCGAACGAGCGAGCGATCGAAGGAACGAACGAGCGAACGGTGTCCTCGCGTCGAAACGATTGCGAACAAGATCGGCACGCAAACGTGTGGGGACGCTGCAACGTGGTACAGTTCGAAGCTAAAACTTAAATGAGAAACTCGGAACTTAAACACCATAATAGATCGAACGTAAGGGAACACATTCGCTAGCATTACACGATACACCCGTGCTGGGAGATTAGATTTAAAATATGTATAAGAGAAGATTACAAAGAAACATGATGAACGAAACGGAAGGAAAGGGATATATAGAATGAAAATGATATCTCGGTGACGAAGCCTGCAACGACAAAGTACAAGTTTCCTTGACGCGCTATAAGTAGTATCTCCTGTTTCGTGAGTCTAAGTATAACGTTAAAACGTTACAAAAATATCGTATATATGCCGCGTTCGTTTATAATCCGTGCCCAGCAATGAAAATTACGCTACGCAAGAACGTGTGTCTGTGTCTGCGCATATATGTGTCTCGTATATGTATACATTACGGCGGAAGGATACACGACGCGATCTCTCTCTCCCTCTCTCTCTTCCTCTCTCTCTCCCGTCAAGGATCGTTGCAAAACGATGCCGGGTTGTCTCCGGAAAAAACAAATCGCGGGGAGAACGAACAATTCGCGAAGAAAATAATGAACGCATGGTGGTAGGAAACAGTGGGAAAGAATCAAATGATCTGTACAAGCTATATAGAACTATTTATACGTGTAGTGTGTCTCTGTTGTGTTTATCTGTGTGTGTGTGTGTGTGTGTGTGTGTGTGTGTGTGTGTGTATATGTATAACAGCGTATTGAAAAGTAAAAAAAATAGTTGATTCGTGTACGCTCTCTCCCTCTCTCTCCTTAGCCAGGCGGCTGTACGCCGTTCATATTGTCTTAAAAAGAGAAGCGAGCCTACGCGTTCTCGTTTAGGGGACCGCATAGGCATTCCCTATTTCCATCGTACGCCGTCCTTTCTCCACTCTCTCTCTCTCTCCTACGCTATCTTTTTCTCTCTCTCTCTCTTTCTCTCTCTTTCTTTCTTTCTCTCACTTTCTCTCTCTCTCTCTCTCTCTCTCTCTCTCTCTCTCTTTCACACACTCGTTCTTTTTACCACTTTCCTCTTACTATTCTCCTCTTCCTGTTTAACGCTCGTTTCCATGTCCGCCGTACAATACGTCACTCGTAGCGTACGGCCACTCGATAAGGCAAGATTAAGCATCGTGGTCAAAGGGCAAGCAAGAAAATGGACTACGAAAATGATTCACTCCCCGCGAGAACGATCCGCGAATCGGATTATCGATCGATCGACCAGGGAGCCCGCGATTCACGCTTGAAAATCGCAGGTGGACACACGCCCCGCCTGGCGCCAACATGGCGGCCGCCGCCGGCTGCTTGCCCCTTCCCCCGACGGAAAAAAGAGAAAAATGTTCGAAAACCGGAAACTAACCTCTTTGTTTCTTTCTTCTTCTTTTTACTAGTTATCGTAGGAACACCAACGAACATTTTTATTTCTTTTTTTTTCATTATATCTCCTCGTGTGTGGCTCGGAGGTGCGCGTGTATACGCGTGTGTACGTATATCGCGTGTATACGGCGTGTCGTCGTCGTCCTTGTCGTCGTTGTTGTTGTTGTTGTTGTTGTTGTTGCTGTTGCGTGCGTGTCCTCCTTGTGTACAAAGTGTCGTCGAGAATAGTGTGCACGCGCGTGACGGTGTGTGTTCTGTGTGTTACGTCGCCTCCTGTCGCAACGGTGGTATACCTTTTTTTTTTGTTTCTGTGTATTGTTGTTGTCTCCGTCGTTCTACTGGGTCCGGTATTTTGCTCACGCAGTCATTTGTGTCGCCTCTCTCTCTCTCTCACACACACTCTCTCTCTCTCTTTTTCTCTAACCAGGTTTCGTCACCGTCCTAGCTCGCGCAATCTAAAAAATGTAAACGCATTTAGACGCGCGGCCGTTTCTCGTTTTCTCGGTCGGAATCAGAGTCCGCTGAATCGTGGAGCGGCGGAAACTCCGGCACCGCCTCGCGTTGTTGCATCCATCCCGTCGCGCCTGGCCCCCCAGCCAAGGCCTTGCCCTGCGTAGCATTTTGTTTTTGTTTTTTTTGCGATTCTCGTTTTGCTTGCTATTTATTTTATTTTATTTTATTTTATTTTATTTTAATTTCATTTTATTCTATTGAATTGTATTTGATTTTTAGCCCCCCGCCTTTCATCCCCCGCGGGCGGCGACAAATAATAACGCGCGTGTATTCGTCGCTAGCCTCGCCTTCCGGCAACAAAATCTCCCGTTCTGTTCGTTTCGTACATCGCTTTTGTCATCTCTGCGCAGACTGTGTGTCATCTTCCCGCGGTGTTTGGCGCGCGGACAAGAAACAAAATCGTGGACGAACGTGCGCGGGCTCTACTCGGATTGGCCGGCCTTCGCAACGGGACATCGACTTCCGGGGGTGGCGGATTCGCGGGCGACGCGTTTCGGCCATTTTTTTTTTTTTACTGCCGAATCGCGACGATGGCCAGACACGCCGTGCCGATGGGAACACGGTTCCGATTTCAATGAGAATGAACGCGGCCGGGTCGCGAACCCGCCACGGAAAAATTAATCAGCTTTGTTCGCGAGACGCGAATGCGCGCGTCGATTCCCGTTGCGAGCGTGAAAGGATTCCCCGGCTACAATGGCCCTCCGGGCGACAGAATATCCGGGAGCGACAAACTCGAAAATCCTTTCATCCGGGCCCGCCAATGCAGCGAACCGGCGCCTATTCTCTACTTGTCTACGCGAAAAATTTAGAACTCTGCGCAACGAACTAAATAATGAAGTCTCTGCCATCCGTCCCCTTTCACTCCCCTCTCTCCTCCTTCCGCTCGCTCTTTCGTTCGTTCCTCTCGCGGCTACCTTTCTCTCACCCTCTTTCTCTCTCTTTCTCTCTCGCCGAACAAATTCGCCCAGGAAAGGGCACCCCAGCCAATCGAACCCGCAAAAAATAAAAAATAAAAACATCAACACAAGAGATAATGATCAAAAATAAAACGCACACACGTACTACCTCCGTGGAACCAGAATGTACACACATATGAACTTACAGCTCTACGTGCAGCCATGCATGCCTCGAACGAAGACATCTCTCTCTCTCTCTCTCACTCTCTCTCTCTCTCTCTCTCTCTCTCTCACTGTATCATCCATATACAACTCCGCGACTCCGCTTTTGCTGCACGGTCGATCGCGGCGCAACTGGTCTTTGAAGATAGAGCGTGTCTCACGACGGTCCACAGATAGACAGAGGGTTTCTCGTGCGCCGTGATTTACAGCGGGGAAGCATGGTTTCCCCCGTGTGCGTGTGCGTGTCCATAGGGCGGCGAGCGCCTCTCGACCCCGAAGATCGAGCCGCCCGAGGTCTCTCTCTCTCTCTCTCTCTTTCGCAGTAGAAAGGTTCGTCTATCGAAATCATATTGCACGCTCGGCGAGACCTTTGACCCGCACAGGCAGCCCACGCAGGCGGTCCCGGTTCCCCCGGACACCTCGACCGGGTCCGGCAAGATCTCTCGTTTCGGGGGCCTCCGACTTCTAGGGCCCCATAAGCTAGGCGCGAGACCGTGACGAGCGAGATCGAGGTCCGGAGCCTGCGACACGCGCGAACGCGCCGCGTCGTGCAGGCCCAGGGTCCGCGAGAACTTCCTGGTTTCCCCGAGGCAAAGAGACCTGTGCTTGTTGCAACGAACCGTGGACGTCCTCCGGCCGGCTCGTCGACCTCCGATCCCATTGATCTACGATCGTCAAAAGGACGGTTCCGCGCGGCAGAATGGATCGCCAGCAAGGACGACGGTTCTCGGCTGGCATTGCGCGACAGGAGCCGCGGGACCTCGATATTTTCTCTCAAGATCTCCCCTGATTTCTGTCCGGATCTCTCTGTCGGCCCGTTCGGTCAGTTTCTGCGTTTCTCTCTCTTTCACTCTCTCTCTCTTTCTTTTTGAGACTCTCTTCTGTTCTGTGTCGTTAATTGCGTGCGCGAACTCTGATTTTCTCATCGTCTACTGTTCTTCACTTTGTTCTTTTTTCTTTCTCTCTCCCTCTCTCTTTCTGTATCTATCGCTCTCTTTCTCTATCTCTCGCTCTTTCTATCTCTCTTTCTCTCTCTCTCTCTCTCTGTCGCCTTCTAAGAATTTCGTTTCATCTGTGCCAAGAGAAAAACTCAAGTAAATTCAAACAAGGCGACACGATCCAGCCTTCGGAGCAGCGAACCGTTCATCCTGACCTCTCCCCTGCTTCGTTCGACCCTGAAGTGCTCTCGCAGGCATCTAGCAAATGCCGGTGTTGTTCTCGTAGTGTTTACAGAGACAGGTCGAATCTAGGAATTTTCTGTACGATGGAAGATGTTGCGTGGATAAATCTCGCGACGGCCGAGGTTACGTCGAGACGACGCAAGAGGCAAGCGAGGGTTTAACGCTGAACCTACCAAGCTCAAAAGTAGCCGACTGTTTTGTAGGAATACAGTAATTTCTCCTGGAAGTGCCAGATTTCGGGTTGTTGTGAATTTTCTTGTGCTAGTGGTACGCCTATGTAATTTATTGCTACGTCGATGCTAAGGATCGACGTTTGGGTGCGAGTCGGGTAAGAAAAACCGCGTTGAGTCGCGTCACGTGGTCACCGAATTGCCTTCGAATCGCGTCATGTGATCCTTGAATTGCCTTAGAATTGTGTCATGTGGTTTACGAATTGTCTTCGAATCGTGTCACGTGGCCTCCGAATTGCCTTCGAATCGCGTCACGTGATCCCCGAATTGCCTTAGAATCGCATCAAGTGGCCTCCGAATTGCCTTCGAATCGCGTCATGTGATCCCCGAATTGCCTTAGAATCGCGTCAAGTGGCCTCCGAATTGCCTTCGAATCGCGTCATGTGATCCTCGAATTGCCTTAGAATCGCGTCAAGTGGCCTCCGAATTGCCTTGGAATCGCGTCATGTGATCCTCGAATTGCCTTCGAATCGCGTCACGTGGCCTCCGAATTGCCTTCGAATCGCGTCATGTGGCCTCCGAATTGCCTTCGAATCGCGTCACGATTGCCCTCGAATCGTGGCAAAAAATTAGAAACAAAGTTAAGGCATCGTTTTCGCCCCTTTTTGCCAACTGCCCGAATTTCCATAAAAACGATCCGCGAGGCCCGAAAAATCGCGACTCAGTATTCTCGGATCCGCCGGTTTCAATTCCGAGCACCGAACATTTCTGGGAGAAATTACTGTAACAAAACCGAATTTACTTAGACTCCTCAGCATTAATATTGCAACGTGATTTCGAACGAAGGAATTCGTTCGATCGTTTCGTAAGAAAGAATTCTTATAATTTCGACGATTTGATAAACAAGGAACGCGGAGACCGGTCGTTCCGACTGTTGCGGTAAATTCAGTTTTAAAACCTCGCCCATGAATCGAAAACCAAAATGATCGTCTTGCTTTGAACACTTTATCCACCGGACGAACAATCGAGGCTCGATAATTCTCATCGAAACAACGACCCCAAGAAAGACGATTAAATTCTCCCTAATTTTCCTTCAGCTTGTAACCAAAATTGGACAATTTGGAAAGAGGAGATACGATTGTTCGAGCCTCGCGGCTCGTTTTTATAGTTGCAGATTATCAACAATTATATAAAAACGGAGTGCAAAGCTCGAATAATCGTGTCTCCTCTCCCGAAATTGTCCATTATTGTTTTCTAAGCTTGAGGAAAATTAGGGAGAGTTTACCATAGTTAGACTCGCCGATTCGCAACTGAAAAATTCATTCGAAGGTTCTCAGCTGCGAATGTCCGATTTCAAACAAACCTTTAAACGATCGTCGGTATTAGTTAGAGCGTCAAAAGATTTCATCGATCGACCGGCAGAAAGGACTGCACTCGCGTTTCGATCGATCGGGGAGCTAATGGACGGTTCGTCTCTTAGGCTGCTAGTCTTAGTCGCCTGTCGTTAGGTGAACGGAGAGTAGAAGAGACCAGGGAACAGACGACCAATCGTAAACGGTGTTATACAGGTGTCGGGGACCGTACTTGCGAACTGTGCTTGTGACAATGCGCCCGAAAGAGCGCGGCCCTCGTTTCTGTGTATATATATACAGGGTGTCCGAAAATTATTGTATTTCCGGGAACTGAGGGGTTCCTGAGATCATTTGAAGTAACTTTTTCCTTTACAAAAATGTTCTCCGAGGCTTCGTTTACGAGTTATCAACGAAAAACAGTGACCAATGAGAGAGGCGGGATCGGCTGGCGCGTGGCGGTCGAGCCAATGAACGGAACTGGGCGCCGTGCGCGCTCGTTGGCTCGGCCGCCTCGGGCTAGCCGAGCACGCTTCTCATTGGTCAGCGGTTTTCATTGATAACTCGTTAACGATGCCTCGGAGAACATTTTCGTAAAGGAGAAAGTTGCTTCAAATGATCTCAGGAACCCCACGCCTCCCGGAAATACCATAATTTTGGGACACCCTTGACATATATACATTATATATATGTGTGTGTAGTTTCTTTAAAGAAACAATTAGAACAGAAGTAGCGGAGGAAGGCAACGTTCGCGTTGAATCCTCGAATCTTCCGGCGTAAACGAAAGAACCGAAAACAAAAGGCACACCCGTTTCTTCCCCGTTGCAACAAACACAGTTCTTTGCTCCTCGCGTGTTAGACTCGGGCGGGTAACCAACCAGCAGCGATTAGAACGGCGATAAGTAAAAAAACAAATTAGAGGAACAACAACTAAATGTGAATGTGTAATTAAACAAAAAAAAATAAAAAAAAATAAAAATAAATTAAAAACAAACGAAACACCAGAGACAAAAAGGGGATGGGATGGGGGGTAGAGTAAGTTAACCTGGGAATAAGTTACGGATTATTGGGTGTCGGTCGAGAAATAGGGTGTGTGTGCTGGTTAAAAAAGATCGACCGACGCGCAAGTAGGATCGCTTGGTGTGCTCGTATAATCGCGTGCAAGCAATTGGTTCGAATCGTTCGGTTCTCTATTGTTTGTTACGGGAACGTTAGTGCCAGCTGCAGCAGCGAGAGCGTCCGTCGTTACCACCAGATTATTATTTTCCCTGCTGCTAATCGTCGACCGATCGCCAACGGGCCGAGCTCTAGGACCAGGAGAGACACATTCCCGGACCACAGAATCTTCGGGGCTCTCTCTCGATCGGGCGAAGGTGTTATCGAAGGGCAAATCGATGGTACGTCGCGTCGGGAAAGATCGTTGTTGCTCGCGTTCGTTGCGAATTGTTCGGCGCGGAATTTCGGAAAGGATGCGCGAAACGGCCGCCGTTGCTGCCCGAACCGAGCTATACCCGGCAACGAACGAGAAACGGGGAACAGTCTTCGAACGTGGCCGAACGGAAAACGAAACGAGAGGAGGCGCCCGGCTAGGTGGGAGCATGCATTTTAGTCGCTTCATTTCGGGGCTGCCCGCCTATCCGTAGGGCGCACGTGAACCGGATCAACCGCGAAATTAATTTTCTGCGGAATCGTGTCGACAACGTAGGAACGCGACCAAGGGACCGGTTGCTCGGACGCGAATCAGTCGATACCTGGTGTTTAGCGATTTTTTTTTTTAGAGGGGATTTAGCAATGGTGGAAAAATCGTGCACCAATTTTCAGCGGGTCTTTGCAAAGACTTCAGTCTTCGAGCCAGAAATGATTTTAGTCACGAAATCAATTTGTTGAACATTGTGAGAACGTTCGAATTCGTCACTATTTTTTTAGCAATTTTTTGAATTGGTTGCTGAAGGTGTGGATTTTAGAAACAGTTCGAGGGTTGATAGAAAAATCGTACACCAACTTCTTATAGGTCTCTGCGAAGAGGAGACTTCAATCTTCAATCCAGGAATGATTTTAATAGTGAAAAAAATTTTTCGCGTACTGTGAAGACGTTTGAACTCGTCATTATTTTTTCGCAATTTTTAGAAGGGGTTGCTGAAGGTATGGACTTTAGCAACAGTTTAAGGGTTGATAGAAAAATCGTATGCCAACTTCTTATAGGTTTTTGCAAAGAGGAGACTTCAATCTTCAAGCCAGAAATGATTTTAATCGTAAAAAAAAATTTTCGCGTACTGTGAAGACGTTTGAACTCGTCATTATTTTTCGCAATTTTTGGAAGGGGTTGCTAAAGGTTTATACTACATCCGCAGCCTGAGAATCGACAGAAAAATCGTACTCTTCAGGCGCACGGCGATTTCAATCGCGACTTCGAAGTTTTCAAGACCGTGAAAGTACGGATTCGAGGATTTTTAGGCAGGCACGAAGGGGTTAAAGAATTCCTGGCTCCCAAGGCTTTGTAATCGAAACGGTTATCGCCGGAGCCGTGTTTCGCAACGAACGTAGCGAGCAGCAATATTCGCGAAAAAGAGTATCGACAACCGGTCGCGGTGTATCGACAAGAGGGACGTTTAATCCGCGCATCAGGGCTACCAGCAGCACAAGCTGGCTACGAGAGAGGCTGGCCGAAGCAGATCGTGTTTCGCGTTCTCGCGCGAATTTAATCCAACGTCACTCTTTGCCACGTGACACCGGTGAAATTGCACGTCGGAATGATTTACCGATTCTCTGACTAAGAGAACGCTTTCGTTCCCCGCCGATTTAGCCGATCCGGGGGCGGGGACGCGCGGGGGTGGCTAGAGCCAACACGGAGGGAGAGCTCTCTTGGTACCGGACAGAAGCTTTGTTTCCTTGGTACACGAAATTATACGCGTCTCTCATTATTTTTCTTTGCCTTGATAATCTCAGACACGTTTCTCTGAACTTTAATTTCGTATTCTAACCCTTTTAGTGGCGATCGAAGGAGTGTTGCGTTCCTGAACGATAATATTTTTGTGAAACCCGATATTCAGAAAATTCAAAACGGTGGAAGAAATGAGAAATAAACCTGTTATATTTATTAGAAATATTAAAAAGACATTTTCTCAAGTGTAGCCAACAACGATGCATCGTTTTTCGTTATTAGAAGGGTTGAAAGAGCAAATAATGCCACCGAATGCCAGACAGTCTCAAAACAGATCACATTTTTTTTATAAATAGATATATAGATTTCTCAAAAATTCTCATATTTCTGTGAATTATTTTATTATTTTTTTTTTGTATCGAATAAAATATTTCTTATATCGGATTTCTTACATTAAAAATTGCAAACGCTGCACAAATTGCAGAAAAATCAGCATCCTAGTTGCAAATATCTGTCGAAATTTTCAAATGTCGCGTTTCTATTTCATGCGACCGAAGAATCGAACGATTCTCTCGACAAATGTCCAACAAAACGCTGGTGTCCGGCGCTAAGCGAGTTTCCCCTATTAATTAGAGAGCAGCGGGGCCCGAAGCGGAACGAGATCAACGCGATTTTCGGCTCCGTGTCGGATACAGGGGGAAATTGGATCTCCGAAGATCCGCGGGTTCCGTTGCGTTTCGTCGGCCGAACAGAGGCAGCTCGTTAGAAGCACGGCCGCGCACCTACCAGAGTCCATTAATATGTGAGAGAGCAGCCCTACCTAAAAAGTGACTTAGCAACTCCAATGCATACTAAGCAACCCTTATGCCACCGCTGCTGGCGCCCCGTGCGCGCAAACCTGACCCCCTCCTCTCGTCTCTAAACCACCGCCCCGCTAAGTCCGCCCTTCCTAGGCCAGCAACAGCGTATCCAACCCAGCCCTACGTGCCCTATGTTATACTCCAACAACACTCTACACGCATACACAGACACCACACACTGTTCCTTCGGACGCCACACACTTTGAGCTGTGCTCCTCGCACACGGAGACACCGTGTCTCAATTTTCTTGATCGAAAGCTCTTAAAATACAGATCTCCGTGCGCAATACGAATTTTCTATTACTATCGTAGATTGCAAAATTCATTTTCATCCTTGATAAAACGTTCTCCGTTGCAGGGGTTGAAGAAAGCAATGGAAAATTTATGCGATTTCTAGGTGGATAGATGGATTTCGTGGTTATGTATTATATATTGAGGTCAAGAGAATTCTTAATTGATCAAGAGAATTTTTAACTGCTTTGTGAATAAGGAGTCGTTATACAATATAAAAATTGAGACTACAAGAAAACTAAGACTGGAGCAGAATGGGAACGTTTTTCGTTCTTTGATCATTTTCACAGAGGCTCTCTGTCTAGTAATACAGTAATTTCTCCAGGAAATACCAAAATTTGGGTTGCTGTGAATTTCCCTGTGTTTGTTCTGCGTCTATGTAATTTATTACTACGCCGATGCTAAGATTATTATTAAAGTATAAGGTAGGTGCTAGGTACGTGACACGTGAATCGTATCACATGGCCTCCGAATTGCCTTAGAATCGTGTCATGTGGCCTCCGAATTGCCTTCGAAACGTGGCAAAAGATTTGAAATAAAAAATTGAAGTCACCGTTTTTATTCTAGCGTTGCTATGGATTCATATTAATTTTTAGCCGACTACCCCGAGTTTCTATAAAAGACTCGCGAGGAAGAATCGCGACTTAGTATTCTCGGATCTGCCGGTTTCAATTCCGACCTCGGAACATTTCCGGGAGAAATTACTGTGATCACTATCGTTAACGTTCAAGGTGTCTCCATTGCTTCGTCCACCCGCTAGGATCTCGAACATTAAACGGACGTTTCCAACAGATCTTCGCTCGAGAAAATCAATTTTGAAAAATAGTTTCGCCGAGAAACGACTAATTTTTCCCGAGGTCCGATCGAAGACTATTAGCATGGTACACCGTGTAGACGAGCACAAGCGCAAACCCAATTTCACAGACGCCGCGCACCACCCTCTCCTCTCCTCTCCTCCACCGTGGTCCACTCGCTCAGTCTCGCCCGCGCACTCTTTCATTCTCTCTCTCTCGCACTCTCTTTCTCTCTGTACCTTTCGCTCTCTTCTATCCAAACGTCCAGTCTCGCAAGATGTGTGAATATGCGGTGAGATNACCTCGGAACATTTCCGGGAGAAATTACTGTGATCACTATCGTTAACGTTCAAGGTGTCTCCATTGCTTCGTCCACCCGCTAGGATCTCGAACATTAAACGGACGTTTCCAACAGATCTTCGCTCGAGAAAATCAATTTTGAAAAATAGTTTCGCCGAGAAACGACTAATTTTTCCCGAGGTCCGATCGAAGACTATTAGCATGGTACACCGTGTAGACGAGCACAAGCGCAAACCCAATTTCACAGACGCCGCGCACCACCCTCTCCTCTCCTCTCCTCCACCGTGGTCCACTCGCTCAGTCTCGCCCGCGCACTCTTTCATTCTCTCTCTCTCGCACTCTCTTTCTCTCTGTACCTTTCGCTCTCTTCTATCCAAACGTCCAGTCTCGCAAGATGTGTGAATATGCGGTGAGATGCGCATGCATTTACGGAGATGAACCGGCTTGAAAATGGATGGAAATCGTGTGTGCTGCGACAGAGTTCTTCCGACCAATCGAATCACTTTTCTTTGTCTCGCGTTTGTTTGTTTTTTCTTTCTTTTCTTTTTTCGCTCGACACAAATTGTTCGAATTCGCGGGTTACGACTTCGTTTCTTTCCATTCATTCGAGCCAAGGATGGTCCCCCGAACTCCGGGGGCAGGGCAAGCGTTATCAGAAGAGAATCTAGCACATGCTCAGAGAATGCAAAAGGGGTTGGGGGCCGTGTGTGTACGGTCGGTCACGGGTGTCCACGCGCACCCGACACGAGCTTCGATTATTATATTATTTTGGAAAAGCTTTTAAGTGTTTTACGGACAGCAATCCGGTTAATAATGGGCTTCCGTGACCGAGCGTGCGCACAACACAGTTGTATTGTACGTAAATATAATAAATATGTATATCGAAGAAAGCGAGGCAATTGACGCCGACTACGGGGTGAAAAAAAAAATAAAAAGAAAAGAATTCTCTATTTACGTGGCGATAGATGGTTTGGAAATTACCTGGTGCATAGGATCGTAGCCCATCGAGCCGTCGTTGTACGGTTGCGATCCGTAGTCGCTACCGTTTATGCCCATCCCATAACCGGCCATGTCTTGGGGCCCGCCGGGAGGCGCCGGCGACATCATCGGCGTCGGGGTGCCCTGGCTGGCACCGCCCATACTGTACGGCGACGCTCCTGCAAAAGCTGCTGTAGAAACAATCGCGGTGCATACAAAATTCGAGGGTGCGTCTTTTAAGTTCTTCCGCCTGACACCGATACATTCCGTCTCTGTCTCTCTCTACAGAGAGAGAGGCCAGCTCTCTTGTTCTCCCTCAAATCGGAGCCCTATATATATATATATATATCTAACCAGTGGCGGCGATCATCTTACCGAATTTGCCAACACGACCAGCACAATCGACCCTTTCACTACGTAGCACACAATTTCTTTCACGTTCTCGTTTTTAAAGGTGACAGAGACAGTTCGACGAGCCACATATTCGTATCCGGGGAAACATTTTTGGCCATCCATCGATCTTACGTGATACGTTTCTCGGCCGATTCTTGAGCAACGCGAGCAGAACACCTATTATGTAGAAGACAGCCCCCGCGTTGGTCCCTCGATTCTGAGCAAAAGCTTTCTTTAAATCTGGAGCAAAACGAGCAGATACCTATAGAAGACGTCTAAGCATTTATTATTCGCAGATGTATTTAACCATTGATTTACCAATATCGACCGGCTGAAATTTGCAACTGCTGCATTAGGAAGATGCTCCATATACACTCCGCGTCTTTGCTAGGATATCCAAGAAATATAAAGAGAATTTTCAGCACACCATCGGACAGTTTTCGACGTATACATCACAGAATCATCGAGGGAAGAAATAAATTGTTTTCTTGAGATCGACGCGGAGAAGTAGCGTCTCCGTGCCGAGTCAAGGCGAGCGAAGCGAAACGGCTCGGGAGAGTTCGCAGTGAAAGGGTTGCTCGAAAGATTTGAACAGGGGTGCGAGCACGCCACTGGTTATCCAGACTGGCAAATGTATCGTTGAGGTATCGTGAATAATTCCCGATTCTTTCTGTCTTCTTTTGGAGTCTTAAAACACCGAGTCAGCGGAACTGCGATCAGCTTAACCGCGCGCCGCGTGAAATGTTTTCCTTTCGGCGAGCGCGAAAGAAATGTCGGAGAGGGGCGGAATCGCCGTTCCCTTTTTTTGGTGTGTCGCTCGAATTCCGTTTTGTTTAATTACGGGAGGGCTGCGTGCACCGGAAGCGTGGCTGAGGAAAGGGCATCGCGTCGGAAGAAACGCGAGAACGACGACGGCATCCCTCCTCCCCCCCCGGTTCTATCTCCGCCCTCGTGTCTTTCGTCGCACGGCGTTCTTCCCCCCACCTCCCCCCGCCCGTGCAATCGGCAAGTTAAAAATATCTCGCGGCGCTCTCGAAAATAAAGAGACGCCTCCGGTAGTTAAGGGAAGTGCGCGTAATTGCGAGCCCCGAGTCCCGGCGAATGCCAGGAATTTTCCCCGAGAAAACCAACCGGCATTTTTCTCCTAATTTCCGCGGGAATGCGCGCCAAGGGTAAATACAAGGGGCCGCGAGACGACACGCGTCGTCCATCGGCGATTATTGTTCTTTGCGACCGGATCCTCCTGCGGAGGATCAATTTGTTTCGCCGCTAGCTCTGTTCGACCAGGAAAAGTCAAACACAGTTTCGTTTCCCAGTTTTCGGGCGGTTTTTCGTGTTGCCGTCGAGGGCCGATTTTTCTACTGAATAACTCGCAGCCGATTCGGTGTGAAATCGGAGAACAGTAAGATCACAGTGTACTGCTACAGTCTATTCGTCTAATTTCCCTTCAGAGGAGAGACAGAAGATGATCGGTAGCGATAGTTCTTTCGTCAGCAACGCCTCGCGTGTACCGCACAAAATTTCGCAAGTCTTACAATTAGCCGTTCGGAAATGTCGATTCCTAACAGTCGATGTGTATTTGCTCTCTGTTGTTCTAATTTATCGAAACGAACTCATCAAGGAACACCCGTCGCTCATTTGGCGAAGGACGGAACTTACCAGCTGCCTTTTTGGCTGCGTACAAGTTCGCCTCCTCCTGTGCTTTACCTATGTTTTTCTTGTAGCGTATCCTCTTGTTGCCGAACCAATTGGAAACCTGCGAGCGAAAAATGTTGGATCATTGAGCTTGTTTTCTGCGAGTGAACGATATCAACGACGGCGGTGCTTAACCCTTCGCTGTCACATTTCCTGCGCGAAACGCGTACGTCGGGTCCCTCAGACCCGGTTCAGTTTTCAAAGATACGGCGAAAACCAGCGACGCTGTCGAGATCAAAAAATTTAAGAACGCGATTCGAACGTTCTGGAACGTCGTTTCATTTGTTAGAACTCGATATCTTGTTTCCAAGTGTACCGAATTAATTGCTCGTTTCGATGTTCTCGCGACGACGTCGCTTCTTCGAGGGAAGAAATCGTGGAACGTTTCGACACGGCGTGGCAGCGAAGGGTTTAAGGAAATGATTAGATCGCGCCAGTCGATGGGAATTCTAGTTATCGAGTGGGAAGATGATTCGTTCGTTCGTTCGTTCGTTTACCTGACTCACGGTGATACCGCACTTTCGCGCGAGCTCCTCCTTGGCCTCCTCGCTTGGGTAAGGATTACTGAGGTGCGAATAAAAGTATTCGTTCAGGATTTCAGAGGCCTGTTTGCTGAAGTTCCGTCTCTTACGCCTGCAACAAAGTTTCCGGCATCGTTTTACTGGAAGGGCGAGAGGCAGAAACTCTGGGAATTTAACGCGTTACCAACGGTGGTTTTTAAACAGTTTCGGGAAATCTATGGCTCCGATGCTCTGTAGCGAGCCAAGTTTAAATTTTGCTTCGGATTACACGGAGACCGAGTGGCAAGTTCGTTCTTCCTTTAGTCATCTTCGTAGATCAGAAATAATACATTGAGATTTTAAGTTGACTCGAATCTTTAGCTTTTGCTTTATCTTTTGCTTCGGCTTTTGCCGTAGACGCGAATGGATTTACGTACCTCGCGTCCAGGAATCGACTCCTCAGAATCATGACGGCCTCGCAGGTGGACTGTTTCAGCTGCATCTGAATACTCGAGAACTTCTTGTGAATGATCTGGACCATCCTCTCGATCTCCTTCGGCGTGATCGGCCTGGTGCGGCTCTGTTCCCTCAGCAGATTCATTACGTGGGTCGTGAACTCGTTACACGCCTGAAATGAAACGGAAATCCACTTCAGCGTCGTCATTTTTTCCCCCGTTTCCTACCCTCGGGCTGCCCCTCGACTAAGGCCGGGAAGATGGCAGTCTTTTCGAACCGAGATCCACGGTTTCCGGGGAGAGCTAGCTCGTCCGAGCAATCGTGTTCGACGGAACGCGCGCGATTCCGTGGAACCCGGGCCCTCGAATTAGGATTACCGGTATTTTAAAAATATTTAAAATTTGTTCCGCAGTTCTAAAACCTCGGTAGAGCTTGCTAGGAAGGATCTATAACGGTTAAGAGAGACGTCGAGCGGTTCGAATCTCTGAAACGATTTTTCAAAGTCCGCGCACAGTACTTCGAGCACAAAAATCGTCCTCGCTCTCTCGTTCGAGTCTTACTTAACCCTTTCGTAGACACTGGGAACTATGCTTCCCACTTTCAGTGCGCATAGTATAAACACCAGGCTCAAGTATTTCCACCGTCGAATTGTGCTGCCATCTTGAAAATTCATACTGTGCCCAGGAAAGGCTCCAGACGAACCGAAGAATAAAAAGATAAGCGAACCATGTGAAAATCGGGCGTTCACGCTCACGAAAGAAAAGTTCTGATAAGTCGCCGTAGGATTATCATCCACGAAGTTACAAAATATCGAACACCAAAGATTCTCTTGCCAAGATAAAAGCGAACTTCGCTCGTAACTCGCGCTGAATAAATTGCGGGGCAAATTGCGGAACAAAGAGGAGCGAAATTTCTGCTTGTGGACCGAATACTGGTCTCAAAAATTTCACGTTTGACAGAGCTCTCGACGGAGGGTGACCCTCCCCCCACCGCGCTTCGATTCTGGATCGAGTAAAAGAGAGAGAGAGAGAGAGAGAGAGAGAGAGAGAGAGAGAGAGAGAGAGGAGAGACGGTCTCGGAGTTGCTGATCATCGACATTTTGGCGGAACGATACCGGTGGCGAAGGAGAGGTCGACGAAACTCGAAAAAGGTAAGCGGAGGGAGAGGGCGACAACGGCGGTGGTGGTTGGACGGCGCGAGGGGGTGCGAGGAAACGAGACGAAAGACGCGTACGTATAATGCATTATTCCTGGTGGCTGCTCGGTTTAAGGGAAAAAGGACTTTGCTCGATATCAGTATTCGAGGCGAGCACGCTACCTTCCGGAGGGAGCGAAGTAGGGACAGAAAAGAGAGAGAGAGAGAGAGAGAGAGAGAGAGAGAGAGAGAGAGAGAGAGAGGATAGAAGAGGGTGGATTTTCCTGAGGGAAGGCGCTAGAAGGAAGAGAGGTCGGTAGGGGAGAGGTCGGACAGGGTGGCTCGCAATTTCGAAATGGATTCCACTCTGCCGCCATCCCCCGGTGCTCTCCTCGTCTTTCTTCTATCCTACCCCGTCTCTCTTCGCTCTCTTCTTCCATTCTGTTCTCTCCCTCTCTTTCTCTCCTCTCGGTCGAGCGTACACACCGAGGGGGTGGTGGTGGTGGATCAGCTTCATTCCTGCCGCGGCGGCGGTGGCCGGGCCGAGGGGCTGGAGACGATCTCGAGTAGGTGGATTGGATGGAAAACCCATAGAGAATTATGTCCCCCCTGCGTCCTTGTTTTCTCCAATTTTTAAATTATCGCCGAAACAAACGCGATACGCCGAACCAACGGAAACGCGGCAGAGATACCGGTCCTGACTCTTTCTTCCGAAGATAACCAATCTCTTCTTCCCCCGAACAGACTGTACTGCTTACAACTATTCGCGATTGCAGGTGGTTTTGACAGTGGAGGCAGTGGGATACTATTTTCCCCTTCGAGATTATTTATCAACTTTCTGGCCGAAGGATCGCTGCGGAGGTCTGGTTCGTTGCCGCAGTTTGCGCGAAGAAATGCATCGCGAGACCGCAGATTTTTATGGATTCTAAGGTTATCCTGTATTAGTTGCAAGACGAAGAGGCCCCTTGGAAATTTCTACCCTTCTTTCTAAGTCTACCTTTCAGTTCTAAATTCTCCCTCTGGTCATTTTCGTATGTTCGAAGTTCACTTTTCTTCTGTTTCGAACGGCGTCCTCTAATTCTTGCGAGAAATGCGTACAAATGTCTGTCTATTAATCTTCATTTTATTTCTGACTATTTCGACGAACTCTTCAGCGGCAGATTTGATCGTTCGCCAAGAATTCCATCGCGATCAATGCGATCTATCGATCACTATTAGGATACTTGTAGTACTACAGTCCTACTGGGATAATTATCGCAAAGCTCCTTAGGCAGACTAAGTCAGAAGACACGCTCGAAATGAAACTTTCCAATAAATAAATGTAATAGGTTTTCGTACTCGGGGATCGTTGTCCCATCGGATGTTCAAAAATTGATCATCGCGGAGCTGGAGAGCCGATAATGACGACCCCGTGTTCGGAAATGATTCACCGGAGCCATCGTCAAGTTCGAAACGACTCGCCGAGCTGGCGGAAAAATCCCGGCGAGAGGATCCGCCGCGAGGAAGCGACGAATCCCGCGAGGAGGGATCTCGAAAGATCTCGCGATCGATCCGCGTTCTCGATCCGCCACGGCCAACAAGTGTCGGCGGTCGTTAATCCGGACTGCGAAATGAGTTTCCTCGCGGCGGCTCTAATTTTACTGCGGTTCGGTCTATTAATACATGCCCCGCGTATGCCGTGGATGTATAGCTAAGCGGGGGTGGGCTTCCTGGCCCGCGAACGTTATCGAAATTCCAACCTGCCCGCTGCTAAATATACCTGGCCCGCGGTTGTTCTGCGGTTACCGCAACACACAACGACACCCTCCGACTTTCTTACGTAACAGCGACGAAATGTTAACGCGACGATCTGGTCGCGTACGAACTGTCCTCTAGGTCAGGGCTGTCGAGAGACGTCATCGCGGAGGTCGCCACTCGGTCGCAGCCTTCGAAGGTAGCGACGATGTGTTACCCGCTTCTAACTTTCTACCTTGAAACCTTTTTAAGCCCTTGACATACCGTTTCCTTTGCGGTCGCTGCGATTTGAAATTTTTCGATTGCAACAATTACTTGGAGGGGAAAGAAAATTGGTGCTTATTGTGCGCCTGAATTTACTTGAATGATTAAATGTTAATGGCAAGAGATTAGAATTTTATCACAATTTTGAAGGACGGAATAATATCGGAATAATAATAAGTTAGTACTGAGTATTTTTTTTAGTAGAAAGTATGGCAGGTGGTTAACACTGAAATTATTGCAGCTAATGTATATTAATGTATAGCAAAGGGAATATTCGACGTACTTAAACTTTGTACGATTTCTGACATAACGTAAGCTTGAATAAAAAATAGTATCTAAAAATTTCTTGTAGAAACGTTTTTATGACATTAGGAATTGTAAAAGGAAAAGTCAGAAAGTTGTATGGACTCGGAGCAATTTTTATATTGTTAACGATATCGAAACGAAAACTTAACAAAACCTAATATTAAAATATTTCTGTTATCAATCATTTCTGATATAGAAATATACAAATACGATATCCTGTTAAATTTTTGTTTAAATATCGCTAAAAATGTAAAAGTTTCTCGGACTCTATGATTATTCACATCGCTGCAGACTGACGAAGGTTTCAGTATGTCTAAGTAGTGTCTACGAGAATATATAACAAAATTATCAGCTTGAAAGATGTATCCCTTAATGAGAAGTAGCAATTTTGTCGAGGATCTCCTCTCTTTTTGGATCGAGGAACCGGACTGATTTGTAATAAAATACTATTTGAAATAAAATACGCCGGTAAATTATGGTAATACAAGCTTCCAAGTCGCGGCTAATGTAAAATCGACGCGCAAATAAAAATGACGATTTAGTATCCTTGAACGAACGTGCTACAGTAATTTCTCCCCAATTCGCGCTCAGACTGCGCACAAAAATGGGCAATTTGGGAAAAGGAGACGCGATTATTCGAGCCTTGCGCCTCGATTTCATAGTTATTCACAATCGATAACTGTAAAAACGAGCCGCGAGGCTCGAATAATCAATCGCGCAATCTGAGCGCGAATTAGGGTGAAATTACTATACACAGACTCGCTGACTCCAGTTTCCGAGACAGCGCGATTCTTCTTGTTCTCCGCGAGAAATCGCGTGCCAGACATCGCGAAGCAGCGACTCGCGGAACGAAATAGAATATTGCAAAAAGTTTTGGGTTAAGGGAACACCACGGAGAACGGTGCGGAACAACCGCGGCCGTACGGAGCCGAACGGAGCGGCGAGCGTAGCTGAGCAGATATACGGCTGGCCGAGCCGGTTGAAATCTGGATTGCGAATCGGACGAAATAAAGGCGGGCATGCACCAGTAAAATTCATGCCAGACGATGTTTGCTGGCGGTGATCACGCGATCTCGTAAAACTCGGCGCGGTTCTATTCTTGTACTTGTCACGCCATTTTGCATAGCCAGGCAGACGTTCACCCTAATGCAGTGACTCGGCACGCCGGTCCGCTCCGCTCCGCGCCGCGCCCGCGTTGCATCGCGCGCGAGTTTCAATAGTAAATTTCGGTTATGATAAAACTTTTGGCCGCGACGATATCACCCGGTAATATCGTTAGTTTTAAGCGGAGCGATATATTTCCCCGGCTACCGAAACAGAGAGCATCGAGCCACCCCCGCGCGCCAAAAACTCAGCCACCCCAACCCCTGCCATGTCCGGGGAACGTGTGTTCATTTAAATAACAATCCCGCTATCTATACGAATGGCTCAATGGACAGCGGAAAAAGAGCAAGGGAAAAGAAGCTACCCCTTTCGGTGAAAGAAACCAACCCCGCGCGGTTCGACCGTTCGCCCCCTTCGACAGACTAAAAAAATCTATGGATTGCGGCGGATGTGTACGCGGGCTTTTTTTTCGCTGCGGTGAATTCGAACACAAGTCCACGGCATATGGCCTCGCATTCGTTTCGGTACTCGTTTCTATCAAATGAAAATCTAATTTTATTTTTCTGTCGTCGATGTTTAGCGATTACAATTAATTTTGGATATAAAGTCGGTATGAATTATCTCGGTATAATTATATTAACGACGAGAATGTGCCGATCGTTGTAGCAGTGAAAGAATTTGTAGTGCAATGGGTTAATATTTTTTAGAAACAACCCTTCATTTTCGACAACAGACATCAGACATATCAGAAAGAGAAACATCTGCAAAAATATTAGAAACGTTTTACTTATTTCTATAGTTATGAAAATGTCACAATTTATGAGCAGAGATAAAAAACTACCACTTTTAAACTTTCATCAACTGAAGGGAAACAACCCTCAACCATCTACTTACGTTATAAACCGAGATAAGTTACAAAAGTTTTGTGCAACGCTTGATTGTATTTCGTGCCTCGCCGACGACATTTTCGTTCCCCGCTCGAACAATTCACCCCGCGCCCAATAAAACCGACGGATCAAAGTAAACTTACAGAATTCCATGAAACAGAAAGTCTCTGAAAAATCCGCCGAAGTCGATCCCGAGAGAAACAGAACGCCGTCGGTCTGCAATTTGGTCGAATTACCGTACAAAAATGTGACGTTGCAGTCGGTCTATCGAGCCGAGTCGAAAAGAAAAAAGAAAACACAACTGAACGAAAGTGCTTGAATGGACCTGAGCGCGGCGAATGAAGTCGTGAAAGGGTTGAAAAATCGGCTCGCACGCGAGCGAGCGAGCGAGCCAGCAAGAAGAACCGGAATGTCCGTAGGAAATCAAAGTACACTCGGTTAGCCGGGTCGGTTCGCAGGAAAGAACGGGGTTAAAACTTGTTAATGGCCAGGTTTATCGATAGGGCGTCAACTACCGGGTAACTGCAGTTCCAACCGGTCAACGGCGCACGCGAACGCATACATATCTCGGCCGCGCGGGCTGCGCTCGCTCTCCTGCAAAGAGTTTCGGTGCACGCTCGTGCACGCCACGCATTCGTGTGCAGCACGAGAGTCGGTGGACCTCAAAGCGAGGGTGTGCGTATCCGCTGCGGGGAAACATCAAGACCGCTGACACCCGGTGAAATATGGGGTCGAAACGGGTGTGGCAATTAAACTCTCTTGCTCCATCCCTCTCTCTCTCTCTCTCTCTCTCACTTCTCTTGTGCGCGAGTGATTTGGTATTTACGCACGGCCGCCGCGTTTGTTTCCCAAGTACGCGGAAGAGCGAGGGGAGGGGGTTGGGCGCGTTGAAAAGAACGATGCTTTTACCGCTGATAAGTGAGTCGCGGCTGCGGCGGCGTCCAATGGAGGGGGGAGGGGGAGGATGGTGCACCGTTGCACCAGGCTTTTTGTTTCAATCGCGCGCGCATATTAATGAGCGGGTAATTGAATGCGCCGGACGTTGAATTTCCGCGATGAAAACAACGAAACCGTGCATGCAAAGCAGCCTGGGACCGGGGGGCCAGGTATGTATAGTATAGCTTCCGCTGATCGATAACAGCCGCGGATAACGATTCGTAACGATCCCGACGATCTCCGAGACTTTTTCAGATTGAACTGCCGTCGCGCCGGCGGGGAAATCGCGATTTTCCCAGCGTCAGCGGGAACCGCGCGGGCAGGGCCGCGTTCGGAATTTCGTCGGGTTTCCACGCGGCAAACACAATAGCCCGCGGGGAGCCCGGCCGCGTTAAAGAGATACGCGGGGCCAGCTGTACGGCGCGACACGCGAGATTTTACTTAGCGCCAGGTCGGTTCATTAGCACGCAAATCGGCCAACCGAGAGACGAGCGCTCTCGGAACCGCGGACCTAAACTGGTCTCTTATCGGACCGCCTCGAGGCGGCCAAAACGAGGAAAAAAAATGTCTAGAGAAGAGGAGAAAAGAGAGAAAGAAAGAGAGAGAGAGAGCACGCCGTATGCGGAAACCGCCTCTTCGATTCGATTACCGGCCACCGTTCGGGATCGTTTCCCCTCGTTTTCGACCATGATTCTTCGAAGGGATCAAAATTCCGGGATCTCTCTACCTGTTCGTATTTCTCCAGTTCCTGGTGGTAGATCTGTCTGATCTGCGCGAGCTTCGCCCTGTAGTCGGAATGCTCGATCGCGTTGTCAGGTTGTCCAGGTGGTCCAGCTGCGGCAGCCGCAGAAGCGGACGCAGCCGCTCCCGCACCGCCGCCCTTCTCCGGACCGGCTACACCTTCTGCGATCAACATGTTGTCCAACCTCATTAACTGCGGATCCGGCGGCTCCTCTTCCTGAGTGTTCCTTAACGACAGCACTGTAACCAGAAATCACGGGCTACGTTAGCTTCCGAGTCCAGTGGATACTCGAACATTATCGCCGGGGACCTTCGCTCGAATCGCTCGGCGATCTTAACGCTAGAACTACCCTAAACGTGACTAATGTGTATTGTTTCGGAAGAGTGACGAGATTTAATTCGTCCGAACTTCCTGCGATTTTTATTGTAATGTATGATTGAACGAAGAAGTTCGTGCAAAAATATCTGACAGAAACGTTTTTATCAGCAATTGTAAAAGAAAAAATCGGAAACCAGACGTTTCGACTGATTTGAGAGTTCTAGCGTTAAAGAGGTACTGTATCTTGAGAGAACAGTCTATTGTAATGTTTGTAACGCTGCAAGACAACATTGATTCGCATTTGCCAGTTCTGTGAGAATCGGCTGGTCTTTCGATGCACAGAGTTGCTCGTTCAAAGTGCAGTCTCGAAGACCATTCAAAGGGTTAAACCGATGCAATTTTAAATATTAGATTGACTTACATGTCTGTAAATATTAGACTGTTTCGGATTAATTTAGGTACATGTGAAACGTGGTTAAGTTATGGGATATATTATTTTGCATGTTAAATCTATTAAGCACTGATTGGTACACGTAGTTCAATAAAAACGACAAGATTGTATTTATTCAAATCTTGCAAGTTTCATATTACAATGTACGCTTCGATCAATTTATTCAACTATTTGAAAATAGTCGAATACATTTGTTCAATCTAATGTTAAATCCTGTGACTGCAAATGGTTTATTCGGACAGTCTCAAAACATGGTAGAAAACACCCTCCCAAAAACTTCTATTAACATGTAGATAATAGATGAAGACTTTCAGAAGTTATATTTGCACAATTTGGCAAACCGTGCATATTTTATGCATCTTATCGTGCATATTAAAACCGATACTGCAGAAAGTTCCTCAACAGTGCAATATCATTTCCGATCACCGGACAAATTGTTCCGAGCGATAAACTTCGGTAAAATATTCCTTAAGAATTATGATTAAAGTGCGGACGATCGAAGCCCCCTTTAACAAAGACATCGAAAATCGCGGTGGCAACTTTTCGCGCGGCGACCGCGACGGAAAAAAGGGTTTAGGGGTCGAGACTCGAGAAAGTCGCGTCGTTTACCGATCGTAAAAGAATCAATTTTGCTTCGGCGTACCCTCCCGGATCAGCATCCCCGGTCCAGGACCCTTTCGCTTTGTCTTAAGGGCCGATGCACGCAGTGGTTTGGCGCGCGGGGGTGCTTTCCACGTCGGTGTAACAGTGGTTTTATTGTAGTTTTACGGCGTATGATGGAGCTGGACGACCCATAAAACCGCAGACACGCCGAGAGGGGTCTCCCGGTTTCTTTCTTCCTCCCCGTTTCCGCGGGCCTGCGTGACAGTTGCCCGAGGAGAATAGGACGCGACACCCCCGTCTTCGACAGTTTTCACCCTCCTCGCGCGTAGAAAACCAACACGTGCACGCGCGCGGCCGAGCGCGAGGCGGCGCGAGAAACGCGGGAGGACCCGAGAGAGCAAACTGCCGCGAGATATGCTTCCTGCGGGATCGGCGATTATTCTTCCGCCGATTTCGTGGAAGAGACGAGAACGGAGAGGAGGACGAGAAAAAGGGGGGACGGTTCGCTACAACGAGGAGAGAAAAAAAAGCCGGAGGAACGAGACTCGCATTCGCGGAATGAATTGAAGCGACCGTTAAAAGCCTCGTCGGCTTCTAACGCGGGGCTGTTTGTTAAATGGGCCGACATCGTGCTCGAAACCCGCACGCATCCCTCGGCTGAGATTTTAGCGTTGAATTAATTAAGCCCGCGGTTATTCGAGCCGTAATTTAAATTCGTTAGAACTTTTCTCCGACGAGGGGGGAAAAAAGTCTCCGGAGAGACGCGGCGGAAAGTTCGCCGGGATCCGCGGGACCGTGAAACGAATGCGCGGAACTAATGCATTTATACGAAGTGTAACAATTAGGGTCGCGGAGAAGGGGTTCCCGGCCACCCCGGGGGACCGAGCCGGAAGGGTGAAGACTACGAGCCGATCGCTGGGGAACCGTTTCTTCGAGCAAGACACGCGCTAACGCTGTCAGTGCGCCCGTACCACTCGCGAATCTCTCGCGAAACTTTCCGCAGATTCCCAGGGTAACTGGATTCAACGTCTCTCCTACTGCATAGGGAGGGAGGGCGGGGGGTGGCCACTTCAGAAATTTCGCGATGGAAATTCCGAATAATTCAGCCGGGTTTTAAGAAAGACGCAGACTTCTCGCGGAACTTTCGAACTCGCGTCGTTTACGTTTCTTCGGTTGTAACACGCCTTTGCAATTATTATTCTCGAATTTCCATAGACTTCGCGGACCTTTGTGCACGATGGAAATTGTCCGAGTCTGTTGTGAGAAGCAACGGTGAACTGAAAGTGTATACATACTTCCTTTCAACCCTTCGTCTGCGGCGTGCTGCAAGTTCAAGCTATAAGGCGTTTCGCAACGCGAAATACGCACGATAATTTTCGTAAATGGCTGCAATAATTCGCGGTCACAAATTGTGCTGCAGTGAAAGTAAGAATTTCAGTGAGAACAAGACAGAGCGTCGACATGTTTGTACGTGTTCATAGTCGAAACTCGATTGTTTTAGTTCGATAAAAGACCGAGATATCGTGCACCGATCAAAATTCTTTAGCATGTGAAACAAGATACAGGATTTAAGAAAAGCATAGAAACAATGAAACTGAAAGGAAGACGAAGAAAGGAGTGGGGAATCTCAAATTTGTTAATGACAGTGCAGAAAAAACGGAAGAACTACTCTAAAGAGAATGAGGAAAAAATATAAAAATAGTAATAAGGAAAATGAATATTATGGCGTTTATTACAATGAGGAATACGAAGATCCACGAAATGGAGACTGGATCATGCGTTATAAATCGAATTTGTGAGCACACGAAAATTGTAATCATAGTAAAAGCACATTTAGAGGCTTTCTGCGCAAGTTCTGCGGTAAATAGATTCGATTATCGACTTGTTCGAGATTTCAATTTAATATTGTTATTATTGTTATTATTGTTCGGGATTACAATTTATAGTAAATTTATTAGCAATTTTATCAACACTGATTATTGCAGTTTATAAACGAATCGTTTAAATAGAATTATAAACGCTAAATAAACTCGTTTCCTTTCACTCGAATCCCTGGTTAGCTGTTCGCAATTAGTCCACTCCCCCCACCCCACTACGTCTTCAGCAAAGGATTGACAATTTGTCGCAATTCCGCACTCGACCGGGTCATTTCGGACGCACGAAACCGCCAGTCGACCGACCAGCGTCATAAAGAACTCGCGAACGCCGGCGTTGCTCTCGCGACCGTGCGGCGGCGAACGTGCTAAATAATCGGCACTGGAGCGAACCGTGAGGTGAGGGTTAACAGCCGTGGGGTGTGTATCGTTAAAAGTTCGGGGGAGGGGGGAGGGTGCGCGAAGTTCGCCGGATAATTAAAAATGAAAGAGCCCGGCGCGCGTCGTTCGGCCGTGAAATAAAACGTACGTTTACGGCGATGCCGGCCGGAAGAAGTTGTTCCATTGAAAGTTAAAGGCCCGTGAGCCATCCACGGTACTTTCGTTTATTCGTTCAGGGGATCGTCGCGAGACTATGAGGCCATGGAGAGCGTTGCCGGTGGGGGTGGACGGGGCGCGGGGAGGATGCGCCGGGGAACCGAAAACCGATTCGACGGGGGTTGGGTCCGCGAGGTCGCGTGCCCGCGGAATGAAGCTCTCGAAATTATTTTCGGGTATCGAGCGGAAGAAAGTAATCGGGGGTGGCTTACGGGCAATAATCTGGCCATTAAGGGGTAAGGGGAGGCCCTTGGAACCGTGTCGCTGAGGCACAGGGTCTGCTAACCTCCTGGGGGGGTCCTTACAAGCACGTAAACTCAGTTTTACTAGCAGTTAACATTTTACGACTGAGACGGTCTGCTGGCTCTGTACATTCTAGCGCTCTCTCTCTCTCTCTCTCTCGCTCCTCGTCCGTGTTGCACGAACGGCGCTACGAGGCTCTCTCCTTCCTGTTTCCCTCTTTCTCTCCACCGTCGGCCGGCTTCCTGTCGGCCGAGCCGCGCGTATCCGTCACAACGCTCGGCTCCCGCGTGAAACACCGGCTATACGAATGTATACGAGCCGCGGCGACAACGTAACGCTCGTCGTTTTCGAGGGTCGTTAACGGGCGAAACTGCGTTAATATGACACCCCGTTGAAGATCAAGCTAATTGCACGACTAATTCGCTCCGGCTGCCCCCCACTCGATGCCGCTCTCCATGCAGGAAGCCAGAATTTCCGCCGTAAGGACGATCAACCCCCGCACTTTCACGGCACCAATTCCCGCGCGGAACAATATTTGGGGCCCTTTAATGGCCAGTTTTACATGTTTACCGTAAATCAATGTTCTCGTCGGGCTCTCTGCGGGATGAATGTTTCAATACTGTCCGGCGAAGGTTTTACTCGCACTACGCCCACCAGATGTACAGATCTACATACATGTATGCAGTAATGTCTCCCTAATTGACGCTCAGATTACGCGCAAAAATGGACAATTTGGGAAGAGGAGGTACGATTATTCGAGCCTTGCAGCTCGTTTTCATAGTTGTTGACAATTCGTGACTATAAAAATGAAATGCAAGAATCGAGAATAATCGTATCTCCTCTCCTTAAATTGTCCATTTTTGTGGACAATCAAAATTAGGGAGACATTACTGTATGTATAGTTCTGCCGTATGGATTGCAATGAATTCTGCGATAACGCAGTTTGTTCGTGCTGCATCGAAACCGTGTGAAACGGAAAGTGTTAAACAATGCGAATTGCTCGAAGAAATTCTCGAAATAAATTGTGATATTCGAGGATGCTGTATTTTGGAAGACCGTGTTATGCTGATGGAAAAAATCGTGTTAGAATATGAAGCTACAGAAGGATTGGGGGAGTAAAGAATTTTGTAACGACCCTCACTGGTGGATGAAT